GTCAACTAATATAATCAGATTTTGGTAACAAATTTGATTGAATTATGATAACAAGTCTCGAATATTGGTAACAAATTTGATCTGATTATGATAACAAATATCGGATTTGATAACAAATCTTTTAAAATAGCGGTTTTTTGGTAACACACTTCATAGTTATTTACACACAATATATTCTATATAATCTTTGAGATTTATTTTGGTAACAAATTTCACATATTTTTTTCGAATTATTTAGAGTTAAATATTGCAGAAAAAATTTCGGGATTTGATAAATGTACATATCAAAATAAAAATATTATTGTTCAATCAATCCAAAAAGTCTTACCAAATTAAATTGTAACAAATTCCATTAATTTTTGTAAGCATTATGTCACATTGATATTACACATAATCTTCAAAATAAAAAATTAATTGTTAACTTACTAATAACATGGTCTTTCCTTTAGTAAGTACTTTGAATTTTAACTTAAATTTGTTTTTTAAAAGGGACGGAGATATTAAAATCCCGTGCATCGCACGGGTACTGTACTAGTTGTATCATTATACAACCTTCAAGATATTTTGCCTCACTTTTCCTTATATACCTCAATTTTATGACCGTATATATTACTCAATGTCAAATCAAACCCATCAAATATTGACTTTTAATTAATAACGTGATTTGTTTATAACCACCATCAATCATTATTATTTTATAAAAATAAAATTAATTATGTGGATTGATTAACAACTCCAAACCACCATAATTAATTTATTCTTATTAATATCTAATCTTCAATCATATTAAAGATAAATAATAAAATAATAATTCTTGAAAACATTTTTCAAGACTTTATTATTTTAATCTATTCTTCTATTTCCTTATTTAATAATCTTATTATTATTTGGATTTGAAATTTAAAATCCAATTTTAAATTCCAACTATTAATTAGTAATTCTATTAATTACTAAATTAATATCCAAAATTCAATTAATCAATCTAATTGATTAATTTAATTTATTCCTTTAATTGATATCTAATCAAATTAGATTTGTCAATTAATTCTAACTCTTTAGAAATACTATTTGAATTTTACTTTCATTCAAAAATTGGTGTGACCTTTTAGGTTCACAATTAATACTAGTAGTGGGTTTACAACTCTTTGTAATTTGAGTTATTCATATTAACTCTTATTCTTGAATTAACTCTTTAATTCAAGAACCCACATATCATGGGAACATCTAGCAAGTAGCATGAATCTAGTATTAAGTGAATAGCGAGTAAACATATTTCGATTACAAGTCCATACATGTAAAATCCTTTCGACATCCAATTTCCCGATTAAATCTTTGGGTATGATTTTGTCGAAACCCAAATTGATTTAATAACTATGATTCCATTTCAAGTTTAGTAATTCGTTTATGAATCTCTATTCATCCTGCCTTGGCCAAGGACTTTGAATTACTAACTATGAAACACATAGGAAATTCACTTATCTTCATAAGTGTCGAATCCTTTGTTGGCCACTGACAAACTTCCATACATATTAATATAATACCCAAAATATCCCTTTATACGATTGTGCTAGCAATCAAAAGGATAAATCAAAGTAAAATATAATATGCACAAAGTTATCATCGTGCCTCAAGTCTAAGGATTAATCATGTACTATTGTAACATGAAAATTCTTATTCGACATGATAAAATTTCATCAAGAATTTTCATACGGTCATGTTCAGTGAACTTGTTCTCTAACAAGCACCCACATATATGTATTTGCGTCCCACGCTAATGTTGATGGAATGCAACATTCTTATCCAATAAGCATACATACTATGTGCAAGTCTTTTCTGGATTTATTCGATATCCCATCTCGAAATATCTAACGACTTGGAACTGTATTTAAGACCACAACTTTCAAGATATTTTCCATGATCACCATCTCTATGTGCAACCATATCTTATAGCTATAAATGATCTAGGGATTTTATCTTAAGTGTAAATATATGATAAATGCTTACTCTTAAAATAAAGTAATGCCTTATTATTTAATATAATTCCAATAGATTGTATTTACAAGTAGAATACGTCCAATTTGATTGGAACGCCGGGTATCCTACTCTAACAAGAGCGCTGTCAAGATGTCTCATAATGATACGTTTCATGAGCGTACCAAAGATATTGAGATTGATTGTCATTTTATTCGCCAGCATGTTACCCATGGGACTGTACGACTT